AAAGCAAATGAAAGAATGACCGAATGAATTAATGAGCTGGTTAAATGTATGGATGCGAGTGATTCTGAGAGAGTTTACTGTTTAACGTAATTAATTCAATGCGAAACCAACATGTTCACCTTTGCAAAGCTCAGTGGGTACCTATCACTGCTGTGTGATACTGCTCCCTGTGACGGAGCCCATACTGTAACAAATTGCGGAAAGTATGGACCTACATACAAGCACATATTGAATAAATGCATCAGCTCCATCAACAAATCTCAAATTTTTGGATTTCGGTCAGAGGTCACTCTACACTTAAAGTGGAAAATAGATTCTTAGGAGGAGCAGACCCAACTAACACTTGACTGGGCGTGTGGATAGATAAATCGCCTGCATAAATGAAATATTTAAATAAAGACAAATTGTTTAAATGTGTGGGCGAAATAGATGAATAGGTGGGCGGATAACTGCAAGGATGAGGCGAATAAATGAACAAGTGAATGAGTCCATGGATTGGCCAAATAATGAATGATGGTGTCCAACATAAATAAGAATTACTGCGCACGTCAAATTGGCATGCACATTCAAATTTTTTGAATGGTTGTGTGTGTGTGCAAATGCAAAGCACCATTTGCACATAAATTTACCCTTATTCCCCCCTACATTTTTGACGAAACAGGCTTACGGCGAAGAAATGCCGTCTGATTTACGGGAATATGAATGAGGTATTGCAGAATAACACTTGCATCTGTTGATGTCAATATTGCATGTGCTTTGCTGCAGGTATTTGGGATCGCGTTAGGAAGTACGAAATCTGCAACGGCGGTAATTATGCAAAGATACTAAAGGTCGCCAACGCTTCCAGCTGGTTGTACGATGACGTCACGCAACCAAAAGTGATCTTGTTTCAGAAGCTGGTAGAACTATTTTATTGGTAAATGTAGGGCCGCAGGGATGCAGTTTTGCAAAACACAGGGGTGAGAAAGGGAAGGGAGGTGGTGCAGAGGGAAGAGATGGCTGAGCATGCCTCCGAAATACACTCGGAGTAGTTTTTTACCCAGATTTGACACACCTTTTACAGCTGGGCGCAGGGGTGGTGTTTCTCAAAATTAGGTTTTGGGCAGCTGAACCACCCAAACTATGAAAAATGAAAAATAAAAGACAAAAATGATAAGTTAACGCAGGAAACTGCATTCCTGGTTAGGGGGCACGATGCCGCCTCCCCCCTTAACTCAGGGGCGGATCTAGAGTGTGTGGGGGGGGGGGGGGGGCACCGGGCCATGGCTTCCCCTTGGGCCACGAAGAGGCTCAGTGGCTCCAGGGTAGCCCATAGCCAACCAACCATGTGCAGCTTTTTTAGCAAAAAAAGAGGAAACGCAACAAAATTGGACATCTCTGGATTTCCAGGCGACCAAGAACAGTTTCAAGCGAAAGTGAGGGGCCGACGAGAAATGAAAAAAGTTCTTCAATGGTTGAAAAAGCTGTGGATAGTAAACTATAAGCCTCATTACACTGTCTAAGCGCCCTATGCTGTTTCTGGGGGGGGGGGGCTACATGCCCACTTGCAGGGTCCTTCCGATCGCTACGGAACCTTCCACGTTGCCCTTTTTCTCAGAGAGCCCTGTGCTGTTGCTGGGTTCTTCCTGCTAGCGTGCCAGGGCACTCTTGTCAGTCAAGGGTCCTTCCACGGATTTTTTCCATTCACCAGAAAGGCTCTGTGGACTGTGGCCAGGACCCTATATCTTAACCTGCCGGAGAACTCTCAGTTGCTCAGAGGCCCTTTACGAGGGTCCCGGTTAACATACCAACACGCTCGCGATATGCTCCCGGGCCCTCTACATTGGCCTAGGGCGCTTCCCATTCCATGTCGCTTGCGTAGGACCCTACGCTCTTGTCGGGGGCCCATCTGTTAGCCTGCTTGGGCGTACTCGGTCTTTCAGGGATCATACACACTGGGTCTTGGGTACTTCTTGTCTGAATGGGGCGGGGGGACCTACGCTCTTGTGGGGGTCTGTTTGATAACCTGCTCGAGCACACTCGATCGTTCGGGAGCCCTCTGCATCGGGTTTTGGGCACGTCATATTTGAATGGGTGCCCTACGCACTCGTCGGGGACCCCCTCTGTTCACTTCCTCGACCACAATGGATTGTTCGGGAGCCCTGCACATTCGGTCTTGGTGTTTGAATTTACGGCCCTGTGCTCCTATCGGGGTCATCTGATATCTTTTTCGGGTACACTCCACCTTTCGGAACCCTCCACATTGCGTCCTGGGCACTTCCTATCTGAATGGAGGGCCCCACGCACTCGTCGGGAACCACTACACACTGTCCCACACACACTGACCCCACACATTTTGGGGCTTATTATGTTGTCTAGAGTCATTACGCTGCTGATTGCCTTGGTCCTATATGTCCATTTGCCGGGCCAGTCTGATCACTAAGGAGCTTTCCATGTTTCCCTTGATCTATTTGCATTTCTCGTGGGACCTAACGCTGCCGTTGGGACGCTATCTGCTTCCATGCCTGGGCACTCTTGGTCGTTGCAGATTGTCCTCCAAGGATTCTTCCCATCCGCCCAAAAGGCTCAGCACGCGTTTTCCGGGGCCCCATATGCCAATGTTCACTCGGTTGCTCAGGGGCCCTTCATATTAGTCTCGTTTTTTTCGGCTTGTTTGGACGATCCTGTGCTGTTGATGAGGCGCATATAAGGTAGGGCAGCAAGACACCCGATGCTCAGGTGCCCTCTGTTTTGATCGGGGGCTCTTTCCCTTTTATCTCATTTGCGGAGGACTGTTCACTCCCATCGAGGTTCTTTCTGTTGGCCTGCCCGTGCACTTTTGATCGCACAAGGGACTCACGGTCTCGCATAACTGCGTTTCCTCAGAGGGTACGGTACGGTGCTCTGGCCGGGGCCTTATATCTCAGCCCGCCGGAGCAGTTCGGTCGTTTAGGGGCCCACCACGTTCTTCTTGGTTTCCTTTTGCTTGCTCTGAGGACCCTATACTTATTGAAGGGGGCCACTTTGTTAGCCTCCTGCGGCACCCAGGATCGCTCAGGTTCCGTCCCTTTTGGTCGTGGTGCCTTCGCCCTAGAGCAGCAGTCGGATATGTCCCGATGATTTTTTACGCGCAATTGGCGAACGTAATTTTACGTGCCGCCGACAACGTGTCATTTCCAGTGGCTATTGAGCGTGTGACACTTAGTATACTAGTGCATCATATTTTTAACGTATTTTGAACGCCAAGATATTTTGTACTACTTTTTAACAAAGGAAAAATTGTGCATTAGTCATCTGCCATCAGCTGACTATATCGCCCAACCGGCCAGCCGCAAATAAGCTAGGAATCAAGTCCCTGCTCGGTTTTGATGGTTGTTAGCAGTCAACTCGGGTTAACTTTGCCTGTTGCTCTGAAATACTTAGCCTCAAAATTACAGGATTTGACATAATCTGTTGAGCATGAATAAGCTCTACGAACATTCATTCGTAGTACGCCCAACTCTAGTGCTGCGCACAGCAAGATGGGTTTCCGTAATCGTCTCAAAATGTGCTAACCGGAATGCAATGACATTGTGTGACGGGGCCCCAAACTCTAGGAGCCTCAAACTCTATGGAGCCCCACAATGCTGCGTGCCCCTCGTTGACGAAATCCCGGATCCGCCCCTGCCCCAGCTGAATAGGAAGCTGCACCTTTAGGCTGGTTGTGTTAAGTATGCCTTTACCTGAATTCGATTGGTTTAGTCTCAACCATTTTTCAGTGTTTCATGGTCAGCAAATGACACTTAGGTGCAAATGAACTCACGAAACAAAAATGTTTGAAGGTTATGCTGCGTTGCATTTAATGCGCCTTTGTTCTTGTGGTTTATCGCATTAAGAGGTATGTTGCTACGGTTTGTGAAAGGTTTGACTCCAAGTGACAATTTGGACGGTTCCAAATATCGTTGATGACAGAAAAGGCACTTTTTTATCCTTGCAATCTTTGGCGGGTGTGTCGTGAGATAACGTGTGTAAAACATTGCATTCCCAACACATTGCAGTCCTGATACCTCAGTGCCTTCGTTCAGCTCGCCCGGGTTCGTCATGGACATCAGGAGCCCTGCTGTCTATGAATGATAGCTTGATTCCATGGCACATGTCTTTCTATGAACCTTTCTTTCTATTTGCGTGTTCCCCATAAAACCAAGCAGAAAGCGTAAGTGCGATGCACCGAATTTTCACGCTTTTTCACATCCTCCCAGAGTGCGCAGCGAAGTTGGATCAGATGGACATGAGAGGATTCTCCTGCACAATTTGCCAGTATTTAAGTTTTGAAACTGTGAGGTATTATTTACCTTTAATAGTCCGTTCGCTGCGTCTGAAATCAGAACAGCTAATACTAGGTGTTTAGGTGGAGACTGCCCGAATTCTTGAGCTTACACACCAAGAAACAAAATTGAAAAATGTCGTAGTGTTAAATGTAGTAATGAACAGAGCGGTATGCACTTTGAAGAAATTTCAACTTTGGAAGCACAGAATACAAAGTGTCATAGCCTTCTACAATCCCCTTTTCTCCCATCCACCTCTAATGGCCCGATTTCCACAAAACCGTAAATTGAGGCACACGTCCTGCGACGGACACATTATTCAGTCCGACTGGCGGGGGAAGGTCAGCTGACAGCTAGACAAAGACGGTAGCCTTGCACGGCGCGGTCACGCCTTACCACCGCACAGCACCTAAATACCTCTGCAGTCTCGCCTGCTGAAAGGTCAGAGATAAAACCACGCGATCAACCGCATGTTCAGTGTTGTGTCGGCCTGTGTTGAGCGGCCGGCTCAGGGCACGAACAACGGCTTAGGTTCAGCAGGGATCCTGCTTGGCGGGGTTCTGAACTAAGTGCAAACTGGGGAGATAACTGCAAGAAAAGCTTTCATAAATACAGAAATACAGAAAAACCTGCAGCTAAGCTCCAGCGTCATCTGACAATGTTAGATCCATCCTATCAAACACTAACCGGGTGCATCTGCTTTCTCTGTCACAGATGGCTGCTGTTGCTGGCGATGATCTTCGCAGAGCTTCAGCAGAGCACTGTGATGGCGAGAAGGAAGGTATGCGACGACAATGGTGTATGCAGTTATTGTTATCACACGGGGAAACATAAGCAACGCATCTTTTCCTTATCTCAGCCCCGATATAAAAGGCGGCCTGCGCGGGAATTCCCTAGCGGCGGGTGTCACGTTTCGCTTCGTCCGGTAATCTTAATCATGGAACCGGCAGCACCAACTTGCCATCAGAGTTGAATCACCTCGGCAGCGCTGGTCGATACATCGCCAATCCTAGTCGCTCCGTCCCCGTTGTCGGTCTGGCCTTGCTTGAGTGTGGCAACGTATGCTCTGCCCGCCTGCAGCACCGGATCCGCCATAACGTGCAGCGGCGGCTGAAGCGGCAGCAGAGCAGTCAAGTGTACGCCTACTCGGCCGCGCAGGACTCGGGCCCCTGGGGCATCTGGGGCACGCAGTCGCCCTGCTCTCGCTCCTGTGGCGGCGGCGTGGCCTTCCAGGTCCGGCGCTGCCAGGACGAGAGGTGAGATCTTCCAGGTCCGATGCTGCCGGGGTAAGAGGTGAGACCTTCCAGGTCTGACACCGCCAGGACCTGCCAAGCCCGGCGCTGTCAGGACGAGAGGTGAGACCTGCCAGGTCCGGCGCTGTCAGGACGAGAGATGAGACCTTCCAGGTCTGGCGCTGCCGGGGCGAGAGGTGAGACCTTCCAGGGCCGGCGCTGTCAGGACGAGAGGCAAGACCTTCCAGGGCCGGCGCTGGGCGAGACCTTTCAGGGCCGGTGCTGCCAAGACGAGAGGTGAGGCCTTTCAGGTCCGACGCTGCCAGGACCTGAGGTGAGACCTTCAAGGTCCGGATTTGTCGATGCGAGGGGTGTGATCTTTCAGGTAGGTTCGGCGCTGCCAGAGGGAGAAGTAAGACCTCATAGGTTCAGCTGACTCAGGACGAGTGGCGAGGTGTACAAATAGCCTTCAACTATTTGTTCCGTTGCAACGTTCCATGTAAAGTATCATAGTCTAGTCCGTGGTAATTTTGTTTCTAAACTGAGAGATGGCGTATGTCAGGTCAGGCCGGGTTCTGAGCCTTGAGCTTTATAGAAAGGGTACTCCATGTCAGGTGCTGTAAGGCTGTATGACAAGAATATTTCGAAGTCGCTTGAAATGTTTACGTTGATCTCCGCCACTGGTGGAAATTTGGTAAACTTCCTCAGTTCTGCTGCGTAATTTCAGATTCACCTCCGTTTACACTTTACGCTTCACCAAGCACGTTGGTTTGGATTTATCACGTGCTCCTCTTCGTCCCGAGTGTGCTTGATGACACAGCCGATTCCCCTGATTGGTGGTGCAATCGCGTTGTGTTTTCTTGGGAGAAGGACCATTGGAAACTGTTAATCTGACATCCGACCTGACGGTTCCAGGCCAGATGGCTCGTCGTCTTGCACTGGACCAAACAAGCAGTATATCTCCTGCAACATTGAGGTGAGAAACACATACTCTGCTGGGCCGAGCGTTCGCGTGCTGGGCTGTCTGATATCTTGGCATGTGATTTGTTCCTTGATATTAAGTTAACCGGTTACATCGTAGATGACAGTGGAAACAGATCTGATATGTCATCTAGACTACTGCACAAAGTATAACCTTAAGCTCACATGCATACTTCGACGTTGATTTTCCAATCACTTTAACCCAATTCGCAGCTCAATAAATGCCGGGGACGGTAGTTCGATTTGATGCATGTGATTTCATAAGGGGCGGATTACTGGTAAAAGGGCATCTTGCTCCTTATACCACCCTATCGCAGTCATCACTTTCTAAATGTCCGAGACTTTAGCCATGTGATGCTCCATAGTAGCATGTCTAGACTACAGAAGGTGTCATTTCACGGAGTGAGTAACATATGTGACTCATTATTGGCAATGATTTGCTTCGGCTGAAATTTGCCACGATGCATTTTCCCAGATTATTTGCTTTTGTTCAGCTTGCGTAGAATGCGCGGATGCATCTGTGATCCGCTGACTGTCGTCGATGTCGAAGCCATGTCGTTGATGTCGGAGCCGTGTCGTTGATGTCGGAGCCGTGTCGCTAATGTCGGAGCCGTGTCGCTAATGTCGGAGCCGTGTCGCTGATGTCGGAGCCGTGTCGTCCATCCTGGAGCCGTGTCGTTGATGGCGGAGCAGTGTCGCTGGCGTCGGAGCCGTGTCGCTGATGTCGGTAATGTGTACCTGATGTCGGTACTGTGCCGCTTATGTCAGTATTGCATCGCCGATGTTGGTGCTGAGCCGATGTTGTGACCTAATGTTGGTACTGTGTCGCTGACGTCGGTGTTTTATCGCGGATGTCGGTGCTGTGTACCTGATGTCTGTAATGTGTAGGTGTAATACACCTCATGTCGGTATTGTGTCGGTGATGTTTGGGCCTTTTCGTTGATGTCCATGCTGTGTCGCGGATGTCGGGGTACGACCGGGACCATGAGCGCGTGTTGGCGTTTCAGCCCTGTCCCGGAGGGTCCGGTGACTTGAGGGAGGAGCAGTGTACCGAGTTCGACAGGCTGCCATTTGAAGGACGCTACTACAAGTAAGACCGGATGTTGGTCGCTATGTTATGTTGGATGTGGCTGTAAATTTACTGTGGTATCACTTTCTGCACATCTTTAAAATGGGTTCTTCTGTCTTCCTCATCAATGCTCCCAAAAAGCAGGATAAGGTATAGGAAGTGGGCATCACGTATGCTTGGTACAGCTGTAAGGTGCCCACATGCTACACAGCCATCACTCTCAGTCATACTTGTGACCTCAGCATGCCCCATGACCCTGATTCATTTGCCTTCGCAACATTTGAGCTCTGATGCGATGTTATAAATAGTTATTTTTTCATAAGCAACCTAGTCGAAATCGCCCAGACGGGAATCTAAACCATCGTCATCATGACTTGAAAGTCTTTATGTTGAAGTAAGCACTTTCAATATGTCATGAGGTTCTGGATAGGCAATGTTGTACTGCTAAATGACGACGATATTGACAGTGCTCAATATTTCAAACTGTGCACATCCTTAAAGGCAACGAGGGTTCAAAAAGGCTCCGCGAAAATAAGCTCTTGGAAAACAAGGCATGTGAATCTTCAGAATGATGCCCGGAGCTGCTGCCCCTGTTGACACCGCCCCGGCCTGCGGCAGGTGGATACCGTACCTGAAGGCGCCGAGCCAGTGCGAGCTCAACTCCCTGTTGACACCGCCCCGGCCTGCGGCAGGTGGATACCGTACCTGAAGGCGCCGAGCCAGTGCGAGCTCAACTCCCTGTTGACACCGCCCCGGCCTGCGGCAGGTGGATACCGTACCTGAAGGCGCCGAACCAGTGCGAGCTCAACTGTCAGCCGCAGGGCGAGCGCTTCTACTACCGGCACAAGAGGAGGGTCATCGACGGCACCAGCTGCGGGCCCGAGGGCCTCGACGTCTGCGTCGATGGACAGTGCATGGTAACCGAGCTGGCGCCGACGCTGGGAGAGCCTGCCTGGCGCGGACGGCTGCCGTTCTGTGGTACGGCGAGCGGCTGCAATCGGAGGATAGTTGATCTTGGTCCAGGGTGTGATAGCTTATAGGTCATCGTGTATCTCTTATTGCACCTGTTTCCTTTCATACCACTCGCGCAGCTTTTGACACCCTAATTCACTTCAACAGCCATTTTTTCTAATGTTTTGTACGGTCCGACGGCATGTCTTGTCAGGCGTACTCGTAACTCAACACCCAGATGTTAGTCCTCCTGCCCATCGGATTAAATGGCTCTGTTCTGGCTACCAATGGCTATGGCGGGAATGCGACACCGTGTCGAGGAATGCTACGACACGCGCGCCCGTGAGAGGTCGACGGTCGCGCCTCCTGACACCTTCACTGTCGATGGGGCCAACCAGTCCACCTATTCCGGGACCCACTCGCTTTGCCGTGTAATTACGAGTCCACCATCCATACGCCAGATCACAAATAAGATAGTGACAGCGACATTGGGTTAGGCTGATGCTCACTCACCTTGCGCTAATGCCCGGGGCTCACATCATCCCTACTCTCACCCTCATGTCCGATCTCACGGACCCCACTGACGCCATCTCACCGTTCTCACGATCACGCCTTGTCGCCAGCAAGTGGGCTGCGACCGCATGCTGGGCTCCACCGTGAAGGAGGACAGGTGCCGCGTGTGCGGCGGCGACGGCTCCGACTGCTACACCGCCCACGGTGTCTTCGACGCCGAGAACCTGCAGTCGGGTGAGCTGTGATCTGCCCTCTAGCTGGGATCTGCCCTCTAGCTGTGATTTGCCCTCTAGCTGTGATTGCCCTCTAGCTGTGATCTGCCCTCTAGCTTTTACCTGCCCTCTAGCTGTGATCAGTCCTCTAGCGGTGATCCGCCTTCTAGCGGTGATCCGCCTTCTAGCGGGCTGTAATACTGGTCGACAAATTGAGCTGGAGGCAGGGTTTTCGTGGTATACTTTTGTGACAGCTGCTATCAATTCCAGTTCAGAACGTTGATCATCTGCGGCTACAAACGCGACCTTCATCGAGAAACGAACTTTTGGCTGCCAATGTTCCACCGTAATCTACCTTCCAAGTCTCTTGCTTGGTGTGAGCAGCGGCGCGTTGGCAATGCTTCAAACGCGTCCTTTCCTCAGACCACGGGAATGTCAAGTGGACTAGGGTGTGCGTCGGGGTGGGGGGAGGGGAGATTCCCATCGCCATTTTAGACTGCCGGTGGTCTAGCTACTCACGTTTCTGTGACCTCCCCTAGGCTACAACGACATCCTGCTCATTCCAAAGGGGGCCACGAACATCATCATCGAGGAGATCAAGGCAACGAACAACTATCTAGGTATGCGAAGCCCGTTATGCTCCATATGCCCTCCATGTGTTAACCATGGCCATTATCTGTTCACTTTTAGTATGCTTCTGGGGCTGGTCTTGTTCATAACATTGCTTGGAATCTTCTCAGGACTGTCGATGATGGTGTAGGTCTGCCCATACGTTGGTGAACAATGTCTGATGTTGAAAATAATCTCATTCAAACTCGAAACTGTCGCACTTTGGCCCGGTACACTAACAAAACGCAAGACCAATGCCCGGGGTTCGTGGCTACCTTTTACCTCCTTTACGTGCAATCACATGGCGCGTTTCCCCAGCTATCCGGAATTCGACTGGTCATTACTACCTGAACGGCAACTGGCGGATCGACTACCCCACCACCATGGAGTTCGCGGGCGGCAAGGTCCACTACGAGCGGAGGCCACTGGGCTTCTTCTCCCCAGAGACCGTGCGCGCCCTCGGCCCCACCAGCGAAGCCCTCTACGTGGTGGTGAGTCGTGCCTTGTACCAGCGAGACCTGCCGTGGCTAACAGCAAGGCCTTCTGTGGCTTTCTGAGACCCTTGAAGATCTCAGAATCACCCTGGCGTGGTGGTGAAATCTGAAGTGTACCTCGAATGCCTTCTACGACACCGGTGGACGAGCACTGCTTGACACAATAACTGACACGCGGCTCTCCCCGTGGTGTTCGGTGATGTATTGTGCCAACGAAGTCCTCCACGTGGTGGTGGGCCATGATAACCGTGGCGATCTACGTGTTGTTTAGTAACGTACCGCCCCACCGAGACTCCCCGCAATGCCTTGAATTGTGCGCTCACTGCAGCGCCGTGGTCCTTCCATGTTTGTCTGAGTATTACACCAATAATACATCTAGTGCGTTGGAAGCTGCGTATTACACCACAGTGGCTCTGTACGTTACTGGAATGTACGCTACCACTGAGGCCATGGTTGCTGGAATGTACGCCACCACTAGGGCCATGGTTGTGACAGCAGACGCCCCAGTTTGCCGCCACAGACATGGTTAATGCTGTCACATGTCACAATTGCTGCCTAGATATGGAAAAGCCACCCACCCGCAGTGGTCCAATGCTTCCAGGCAGACCAGGCTCAGGATAGGTTGACGGCACTGTATCATCCTCGTACCTCTCTGTAACGATTCAGGCATAGGCTATTTGGCTATCACGTTGCACTGCCATTCTTGGTACTGGTAAATGTACGTGCTAAGTCAACATTATTCAAGTTGTTTTACTTCATTGTCCACACTGCACATGCCCGATAAGATTATGGGAGGCATTTGTCCCTAGCTCGAACGTGTTCATGCCAAACACCCTCATAACTCTTCCCTGCACACCGACGTTCATCCTGATCACCTGTCATTTGTCGGCCGGCACTTTCTGCACGTGACGTCGCACCCTCGGCCGCCAGCTGCTGTACCAGGAGCGTAACGCCGGCATCCGGTACGAGTACAGCGTGCCGCGGACGGTGGCGGACGCCGGCAGCTCCGAGTACTCGTGGGTGACGTCCGCCTGGTCGCCCTGCTCCGAACAGTGCGGCGGAGGTGAGCCCGCGCCCGCCTCTTCGTGTTCGTCTACCCATGTGGTGCGCTTCTATGGACTCTGCATACGTCGTGGCTGTCCTTAGCCTAGCGACAGCCGCTCTAATAAAGGGACGCATAGTAAAGCATACGATTTTGCTAGAATTCATGTATCGCCGCTAGTACTTAATCAATCGATAAGGGCACGCAAAATAAAATCAAGAGAGAATCAAGGCAGTCCCTGCGCTCAGGCTCCTCGGCTGCGATACTTCCACCGGGTCAGTCTATACCTGACATCCCCTTTGGACGGAGCCAGCGCCTAGAGTCGGCGGAAACGCACTGAAACAGCATCACAAGTGCGCGCCAGTGGCAGAATAGAAAGCTCACGTGCCAGCTGACACACAGTATCACATCGACCAAAACCACAGCTTACGCGTGTTGCTGTTTCCTTTCTTCAGCAAATTATATTTGTTCATTTTGAGGTGTTTCATTGTCGGCTGTACCATTGAGGTGCTATTGACAATAGCACGTGTCTGGCCCTAAACAGGTCAAAGAATAAGGCGCAGAGATACAGGTCGTCAATATTGGGATTTTGACCGCTTTGCAAGGTGTATAATCTTAGGAATGTAGCACAGCACACAAATAATAAAGATGCATCCGTAATGCGGTCTTGATTTGTCAGCAAATGTACTAGTCGTTTTTTGTAATGCCTGCAAACACAATAGGTTTCCTCCGGCATGCTTTACCTCATCTACGGGAAAGCGAGATATTGATTTACTTTTTTGCCGCTTTATACTAGTTCCTGTACTGTTCACGCAGTTGTTGCCCGTTTTGTGCAAGCTTATTAAAGCATCTCCACGAAAAAAAACAAAACATTCTGATCTGAGAAGAATGCCCAGAATTCATCCACTGCATGCACCACCGACCATGTCCCGTCTTCGATGACGCTATAACTGCACGCCACTACGGAACTGTTTGCCATCTCTGAGGGTCTGCCGTGTCAATGACGCGACTCAGACCCGCCGTTCGGTGTTTGTATGGGTCAACAGGCAGCCACAGCCGCCAGCTGAGCTGCATCAGGAAGCAGGACATGCGGGAGGTATCGCCCGACCTCTGCGACCTCCTGACCAAGCCCGAGGAGACCGAGAGCTGCAACCAGCAGCCCTGCCAGGCCAGGTGCGCTTACTGCGAGACCAGGGAACTGCTGTGTTCTCGAGCATCTATCACGCGTGACTCCCCTGTTTGTGTATGTCCGCCGGACAGCCTGTCAGGCTTGGTGAGGGTGACGACTGAGGTGAACCTGGAGCGCGACAACTCGTGTCTGACGCCTACTACCAGCGTCAGAGTCACCGCGAAACAGTTCATGTGGCAACGTCTCGCCCCCTCCGCCCTTAAGCTGCCCTAAACTGACCTGTTCTGACCTACTTTGCCCCTCCATTCTCTGCCATGCCCCTCCGCATGCCCTTTGCTGTCCTACTCTGTCTTGTCTTACCCCACTCTGTCTTACCCCACTTTGTCTTACCCTACTCTGTCTTACCCTGATCTGTCTTACCCTACTCTGTCTTACCCTACTCTGTCTTACCCTACTCTGTCTTACCCTACTCTGTCTTACCCAAGTCTGCCCGCTCTTTCCTGTCCACGCCTAGCGTTGCCCTGTCCCCTGCCCTGCGCTGTCCTGACCTGACCCGACCTGACCCGACCTCTGCTCGCCTGCCGCAGCTGGAAGGTGGGCGAGTGGTCGGCCTGCTCGGCCGGCTGCGGCGCCGGCGGCGTCCAGTACCGCCAGGTCACCTGCGAGCAGAAGGTGCAGGAGTCCGTCAAGGCCGTGGTCGACGACGACCTGTGCGCGCGCACGCTGGGCACCCGGCCGGCGCACATGCAGGAGTGCAACACCGACACGTCCGCCTGCCCCACCTTCCACGTCGGCGACTGGTCACCGGTGCGTGCCGCCGGCGTGGGTCTGGGAGCGGCGCTATTGGTCCAGCGGGCTGAAGAGCGCCAAATGCTGTGCGGATCTTGCCTGTTTACACGAGCTCCGAACACTCACCACGCGCACCCAATCTCACTCGCACCGGTCAAGCACAATACGCTCAGCTGATTATTGGGGTTGATGGGATTTATGCTTCGTCAACTGAAGACCTCACGGGCACTATCGCCGCCTTGATAGTTATTAGGATTCTGTATCACGGGGTGAGTTTTGTGACCTCCATGAGCTGCTCGGTCTGCCGTCAAGTGACACTACACATCATTTCTTGAGATGAGACAATTTTCCTGATATTTGCAAAATAAACGATGCAGACATTTCCTGACGTAGGTTTGTGCGTTCAAAATGGTGCTTTTTACCTGCAAATGGTGGTGTATACCAGAAAACGGTGTCGTGGCATGCCAGAATGATGGTACCTCATGTCACTGACACTTGGCCGTGCCCTCTGGCAGTGTGGCAGTCTGTGCGGGGAGGACGAGAAGAGTCGCCAGGTACTGTGCCACCGCGTCACTGACACCAAGACAGAGCTTCTGGACGCTGCCGAGTGCGAGGGTGACATGCCGAACGCCACTGAGCCCTGCATGCTCAGACCCTGCGAGGGCGTCGACTGGATCGCGTCCAGCTGGAGCGGGGTGAGCGTCCCTCTCCCCCTCCCCCCCCCCCTGGTGGGGGGACTCCGGCGGGAGATGAAGAGGCTCGTGGGCGCCACGACCGCCCGCACCGCCGGGTGGGCGTAGGAAAGCCGTGGGCCAAAGAATTCCTGTATGGTTTTCGCGTGGTACGAGGCGTGATCGAAAATCGTTTCCAGCAAATGATGTAAACTCAAACCAAATTTCCGCGGCTGGCCTCTCCATTCGACGGTGTTCGTGACATTTCAAACCGGTAGTCCCAGCACCACACCGCGGGGCGGTGTAAGTCAGCTACGAGTGCGCCGGCTGGGCGACAGTGTGCCGGAGCGCGGGACGGACTCAGACCTGTCTCCAGTGTCTCCACCTGAGCTCAAACCTGTGACCAGCGCCCGCTGTCAGCCTCGACGGCCGGACCGAAGGCATCGCGACGCTAAATAATTTGAGATGTAAAATGGCCGCGCCACGCTTGTTAGCCCCCAACAGCGACGCACCTGGAGCCGTCTCCCGCACAACGCCAAACGCCACCCGTCGCCCGCCCCGGCAGTGCGAGGAGAAGTGTGGCCTTGTGACGGAGACCAGGAGTGTGCAGTGCGTCAACATGGAGGGCAAGGTGTACGCGGACGAATACTGCCAGAGCGGCCGCCGGCCGGAGACCGAGCAGGAGTGCCTGACCACCACCGTCTGCCCGCACAGCTGGTATGCCACCCAATGGAGTGAGGTGAGTGCGGGGACGCCGCCCTTCCGCGAGTCGCCCCGGTCAGCGGGGAGAGTAGCGCTAGAGCTGGGTTGGAGTCGGTCTGGAGACGAGGTTGATCATGTGTGTTTGTTCAACGGAAATGCGATCTGAAAAGGGCTGGTTTTGCTTTAAAAACTGAACAATATCTTGCGTACATGGATCGCGGACAGAACCTTCATACTACACTCCTGTACATTTTCGCTCTCCGTCATTTTCCCTCCCTCGCCTGAATGCTTGTTTTCCATGCCATCCATAATTTGCGATGTTATCATTGAAGTATTTTGCTTAGATCACCCTTTTATCTAACTTCCATCATTCATTATTTGTCATTCCATTGCTTGTCATTCACTCCTTTGTGGTCGTTCTTCAGCTGCTGATGTGGTGTGAATCCGTCATTTGGCTTCTGATATTACTGATACAGCAGACACCCGACTCCAAAACCACCACCTTACCTCCGGCTCTTGTTCAGCATCAGCCGTTCGCCTGATCATCTATGAAGAGCCTCCACCCAGGTCCGGAGACGCTGACCCCGTCGCCCCCGCCTGCAGTGTTCGTCCTCGTGCGGACCGGGCGTGCAGACGCGCCGCGTGTTCTGCGCCTCCGTCAACGACGACGGCCTGATCGTGCCCGGCGACGACGACCAGTGCGACCCTGCCAAGAAGTACGAGGCCTCGCAGCCGTGCGAGGGCGCTGAGGGCAACTGCTGACGCCAGCTGGATGTCCGGCCCCTGGGGACCGGTGAGACGCCGCAGGGGTCGGGCAGCGGGGATGAGGGTGGTGTCCGCCACGCTTCAAAGACGGGGCGCTACCCTCACCTGCCGACGCACTTGTACGCTCAACCTCACAGACAGCCGCAGCCCAGCTGGCTCTGATCACCTCGCCTGTAATAATACCAGCCTTACAGCCGTGTTCGCAATGACACTACTTGAAGTCACACTGACTGGGTCCCAGTCAGGTGGACGACCACGCATCATTCTTACAGGCATTGCACTGGACGGAAGGAAACAGCACAAAACTGGACAGAATGGAACTGAGCACAGACCTGAACAGAATGGAGTCGCTGAGCTTAATGGCACTGAAACCCGACTTTACCATGGCATGACTGCTGCAGGGCTCCATATTTCACGGGCGATCCTCTCAGCCTGCTCGAGACCAGCATGCTCTGTGGCGTTCCAGTGCTCCAAGTCTTGTGAGAAGGGCTCGCAGTCGCGCGAGGTGTTCTGCACGGACGGGCAGGAGAGGGTCGACATCACGCTCTGCGACGACAAGCAGATACCGTTCGCCCTGCAGGAATGCAATGACATGGAATGCGACGCTGCAGGTCTGCATCTCGTCGCCTTTATCCGAGCTTTAACGGCATTACGCCCGCCACTCATCTGTTGCCTTTGTATTTAATGGTAGTTTCGCACTGCACATCGTAAAAAGAAGCCAGTCAAGGCTGTCTGCAGGCTGTAAGAACCATTTCTGAGATATTTATACGCCAACAGATATTAGTACTCACTGGAGTGTAGATCAAATAGTCTAACCCCGTGATCGGCTGGTTGGCTACGTAGCCCAGCTTTGTCTGTGTCTCAACACATCCCGTTTTTCACCAAATGCCGCGTTTCACCACTTTTTTGCCTCCCCATATTTCACTTCGTCCGGTGTCTAACCACCTCCTGTGTAAACACCGTAGGTGTTCTCTCACCTCTTGTTTGTCACCTGCTCCTATATTTCACCACCTCTCGCGTCCTTATTGGTCACATGTTTTACCATGCGCAATGTCTCCCCATGCATGGTTTCTCACCACGTGCCGTGTGGAGCCACGTCACGGGTCTTCGCCGTGCCTCGAGCCATGCCCTGTCTGAGCGCCTGTGCGTCGTGCCTCCTGCTACGTACCTCTGCTCCTTCATGTCCCGTTTTTACCGTATGATGCGGTCGTCTTCAGAGGAACTGAAGCAGCTGAAGGAGTTGGCGTCGCTGGCCTTCGACCCAAGTGCTCTGGACGACGAGTGTCCGTTGGACGGGGAATTCGTGAGTAAATGACGGGCTTGGCCCCAGCCTACACTCTGCACAGATAATGGTGGAAGATGACCGGGCTGAGGAGCGCGCCTCATGATTCCTTTAGTCTCGCCTACTTACGACGGTCGTCATCACTAGCACGTTCACGCATTCATGCAAAAGCGATCAATGCTAAGTTCAGCAAAGATATTTGTTCTTACTTTGTGCTGCGTCGAACTAACATCACTGTCACTGAGAACAGTCTCACGAACACCTGGGTCCCATGATTACCCTTTCCATGTGCTGAATAGTGCACCATGCCAAAAGTGCACCGGTAGCGTTCATGGTGTCGATTTCCTTGCTTATGTCCCCCTTTGGCCGTGATTGAAAGACGATGCACAATTACGGATGATAATAATTTCAACTTTTAGGGTGCATCCACTGGAAATGATTATGCGGCGTTCATACATTTACGGTTCAAAAAGCATACGGTTACAGTGTACACATATATGTATATTGCTGTCCCGCTGGCTCAGTGGGTTAGAGCACCTGCCTTTTGCCTTATCCACTCCCATTTGGCGAGGCGGGTACAAGTCGCTCTAAGCGTCCACTATTTGTCCTTGACGGAAATGACCTGCGGGCGGGGGCAGCGGCCGTGCTTAAGGTCAGGTGACGTCAAAGGGCAGGCCGCGCCGTGCCGAGCATTGCGGCGCGGTTAACTTTCACCACCAAATTCTGCCGTTGATCCGGAATAACGCGATCTGATGGTAGGGGTCAGGCTCACACAACAACCTTCAGAAGGTTCGTATGTTAAACCTAAAAAGATGCCTGTCTGTTAGTGTGACTAATCCATTGAAACACGCGGAGACAGCATTTCATTAGTCTCGAACAATTATTTTTTAGCTAATTATCACTGAGGGTGCTCCCATTGCCGGCACTTTTAGGGACTGGACTTCCTGGGCAGCGGATCGGGCGACGGGTCCGGAGACATCTTTGGTTCCGGTGACGAGCTGGATGTCAGTTTCAACGACCTGCTCGGCCGCGCCCTGGACGCTCAGGCTGCTGATAGGGAGAAGGACTCCGAAGAGGCGTCGGGCATGGAGGATGCTTCCGAAGAAAAGGACTCAAAATCGTCCGAAGAGGACTCCAGCTCGTCCGAGGAGGACTCGAGCTCGTCTGAGGAGGGATCGGGCTCGTCCGAAGAGGAGTCTGGCATGGGAGAGGATATGTCGGGGGCGATGCCGGAGGATATGTCTGGAGAGATGCAGGATGTTATGCCTGGGGAGGTGTCAGAGGAGACCTCTGGAGATACTTCAGGAGATATGGCCGAAGGGATCGAGGACATGTCGGGCGAGGCACCTGTTGACGGCTCGTCTGAGGGCTCCGGCGAAATGGGCATGAATATGTCTGAGGAAGCGCTGAACGCGTCTGGCGAGTTTTCTGGTGACGCGTCCGGTGATTTCGAGGAAATTTCCGGAGCAGAGTCTGGCGATTCGGTGGAGGAGATGTCATCCGGTGATTCGGATGGTAAGCTGCCAGCCTCGGCCACTGAAGAGTCCCGTGTTAAACGCCAGGTGTCTGGCGCTCCGGCACCAGACACGCCACCTGAGGTCGAGGCTGGCGATGACCTGTCTGGAGACATGTCCGGAGACATGTCCGGAGACATGTCCGGAGACATATCCGGGGATGTGTTGGGAGAAGCGTCTGGTGACTTGTCGGACTTCATGTCTGGAGATATGTCCGGAGACATGTCTGGGGATGATGGTTCAGGAGAAGATACGATTGGGTCAGGAGAGGTGTCTGGAGACCTCCTTGACGACGATGGCATCAGCGGAGAAATGACGGGCAGTGGCGAAGGCAGTGGGGACATGATGGAAAGCGGAGACATGATGGAAAGTGGGGACATGTTGGAAAGCGGAGACATGATGGAAAGTGGGGACATGGTGGAAAGCGGAGACATGATGGAAAGCGGAGATATGATGGAAAGCGGAGACATGATGGAAAGCGGGGACATGATGGAAAGCGGAGACATGATGGAAAGCGGGGACATGATAGAAAGCGGAGACATGATGGAAAGCGGAGAGATGATAGAAAGCGGAGACATGATAGACAGCGACGACGTGTCTGAAAGCGGAGACATGAGCGGAGAGGATGAAGAAAGCGGGGACGCGAGTGGAGATGACATGATGCAGAGTGGAGAAATGCCAGTGTCCGGAGATGACATTGATGAGCAGACAAGCGGAGAGGACGAGTCGGGCTCCGCTGTGGACTCGGACGAAAGCGGAGACCTTCCGGATGATTCGCCGGAGGAGAGCAGCGAGGAGGAGGGATCCTCCGACGCGAGTGGCGAGTCCGGTGACGACAGCGATGAGGACATGCTGGACGGGATGGACGAAATGGCCGGCAGCGGTGACCAACTGATGGACGGAAGCGCAGAAAAAGACGACGACATGATGATGGGCTCTGGAGACATATCGGGAGAAGGCTCAGCGGATGCCTCAGGATCTGGAGACTTTGACGGTAAGTGATAGTGTTCTTCAGCTTTATAAGAAGTCGACTCATTTGAACCCTTTAAAACTTAAGTACTGCACACCGACTTATGAAGAAAACATAAATACCAACGCATTTGTTGAATAGGTTTTGAAATTAGTTAATGCATCCGCATCATTTAGATATGCTGCAAATATTTCAGTGGTCCATCAGTATAACAAATGAATTGCTAATGAAGAAAACATGAATTCAATGCTATCGTCCCAACCGCCAGAGCCACTAACTCGGCAAAAGCTATCTGAATGCTTCCGCTTTGTATCTAAATCATTGTGCACGTAACGACTTCAGTGTAGCCATTTTCCGACATTGACGCAGACGCCCTGACTGGCCGATATGCACCCTTGTTTACTCTGCTTGCGTTTTCAGACCTTGAGCTTCTGCCACGCTTCGGTGAGAAGGAGGAGCAAAAGTCCAAGAAGAAGTGCGTGCCTCGGCCTGTTCGCATCCTGTGCGAGGCGACCGACTTCGGGTGCTGCCCGGATGGGCTGACTGCCGCCGCCGGCCCCTTCCTCAAGGACTGCCCGCCGGTAAGGAGCCTGCGACCGTTAGTTGTGTCCGCCGGAAACCTGCGGACAAACCAGCGAACTTGACTTCTTTGCCGAGGATCGTTGATCCATCGATCGTCGTGCTGGGGATCGCCATCGATTTCGCCTTTTGCTTTTTCTCTCTCCATGTTGTTAGGTGTTGATGTTAGCCATTTCCAACGTACACCCCGCAATGACGGCCACGGTGAGAGGAGTTCCGCGCACCACAAGGGCCACTCCATGTTGTTAGGTGTTGATGTTAGCCATTTCCAACGTACACCCCGCAATGACGGCCACGGTGAGAAGAGTTCCGCGCACCACAAGGGCCAGGAGTAACAGCCTGTTGTGACCGGTACCGCACGGTGTCGCGGCAGCTGGACAACTGCCAGAAGACCAAGTTCGGCTGCTGTCCGGACCGCGTGACGCCAGCACAGTCGGAGGACGAGAGCGAGTGTCCGCCGGTGGCCGACTGCAGCCGCTCGCTGTTCGGCTGCTGCCCTGACGAGTTCAGCGAACTCTCCGGGCCCGAGGCAGACAACTGTCCCAACGTCACCCGAGAGTGCGAGATCAGCAAGTGAGTACACTCGTTTTGCAGCTTTCTGCAGGTCTCGTCTTACTTCCACGGTTTGCCCAGTAGGTGAAAAGTAGGCGGCGGCCGATGTCCTTGCGTAGACGCAGGCGTACCCCTGCGGCTAGCCGTGTGCACATATGGACGAGTGGTTGCGGTGCTTGGAGAGGGGAAGGTTTGAATAAAAAGTTGGGTCTCGGATGCCATCCTATGGCTAAATCTGTCTGAGAAATCAGACGGATGAAAGCGTAATACTGAGTCCAGTCTCCGGACCCTAGCTCTCACCGCTAGCGAGGAGCTAGTTGTTGACCCACCTAATGCGTCCGGTCAGGTTCGGATGCTGCTCCGAGTCGGACGACCCAGCTGAGGGTCCGTTCGACAAGGGCTGCCCGGAGAAGGACACCGAGGCGCCGGCTGTCGATGATGAGGACAAGAAAATGGATGACGCCAAAAACTGCACAGACACACCGTAAGCTATCTCTCGGCCGTACCACCGCTTCCATCGGCTACGCATGCTTTCGTGAATATAAATTACATCACTGTGGAACTCCCTGGCTTTTCTCCTAACCCGGGCAATCCATTCAGACTGTGGCACAATCAGTCAGTCGATATCCCACGAAAACACTGGCGGCCTCGCAGACGGCCGGCGGACGTTAACGGCGACGATCGACGGCGGCGGCAGCCCCGTGGCGCCCCTCGAGGCGGCTCGAGTCCTTAACGTCTGTCACACGTGCACGCCAGGCACGGCTGCTGCGCGGACGGCACCACGGCCGCGTCTGGCCCCAACGGCGAGGGATGTCCGGCAGCCTGCCTCAGCTCCGAGTTCGGCTGCTGTCCCAACGGCTTCTACCCGGCGCACGGCCCCAACCAGGAGGGCTGCTGCCTCAACACCAAGTTCGGCTGCTGTCCCGACAACATCACGCCGGCCAGTGGGACGGATCTGGAGGGTGAGGTGCTAGTGATGGTGCCATCCGCCAACACGTGCCGCTTACAATTCAAGTGACGTTAATTGTGTGATGCATCACCGCTATCCTGATTGGCTACATTGGGAATGACCTGACGCGTTTGCGTTGCATGTCAGATTATGGCTAGGCCGCTTGAAGTCTTCTCAGGAGATGGCGGTTACAGTCAACCGTATTCGGCACAGTGACATTACGAAACTCGTATATCTAACCCTTACTCTGTTTCCTTTGGTTTTTTCAATTGCACATTCCCCACATCTCACTTTCTTTCTCGCACTCTCTCCTCCCTCTTCCCACCTCTCGTCCTGTGTCTGGCCACTCACGTGGATGGTCGCTTGCCCGGCGCCTCAGGCTGCGGTTGCGAGTACTCGGCGTTCGGCTGCTGCCCCGATAACCGGACGCTGGCGCGCGGCGAGGCGCTGGAGGGCTGCGGCTGCCGCTACACCGAGCACGGCTGCTGTCCGGACGGCTACACACCGGCTGCCGGGCCCGACAGCCTCGGCTGCGGTTGCCACACCTTCCCATACGGCTGCTGCCCCGACGGCCAGACCGTCGCTCGTGGCCCCAACCAGGAGGGTGAGTCCGCCGCCGGACCGACACGAACGGCGGCCCCAACCAGGAGGGTGAGTCCGCCGCCGGACCGACACGAACGGTGACCCCAACCAGGAGGGTGAGTCCGCCGCCGGACCGACACGAACGGCGGCCCCAACCAGGAGGGCGAGTCCGCCGCCGGACCAACACGAATGGCGGTGTGGCCGTGTGTTGGGTTCCTGAATTGTGTTCCTGAATCATGCATGTGGTTGAATAAGAAAAGGCATTTTCAAAGATTCCTTGTGGCTAAACCACTTATTTTCCTCGACTGTTTGTAATGTGAAGTAAACCAGTATGAGTTCAATACATCCTCCATCTCGCGCCCGTGTGGCTTATCGTGCACTCACTGTGTCTCCACTACGCATGTTGTCATTGGCTGGAAATCCCAATAAAGAGTAGCCGGTGTGTCACATTTGCATTTTCCGCGGGTTGTGAACTGTGTGTGTGTGCTTTTCTTCTCGATCGGCTTTAATTCAAGCCATTGGAGGCTATCCCTCTGCTCCCTCCCGCTCAGCTGCAAGCGTCACACACCTATGCACGCGTCGGCCGCAGCTCTCCCGCCGCTCTGTGTGATCCCGCCGCTCTGTGTGACACTGCCGCTCTGTGTGATCCCGCCGCTCTGTGTGACACTGCCGCTCTGTGTGATCCCGCCGCTCTGTGTGACCCCGCCGCTCTGTTTGATCCCGTTCGTGCCGTTTCAGAGTGCGGCTGCGACTACGCCGAGTTCGGCTGCTGTCCGGACCGACGCACGCAAGCCAGCGGGCCGGGCTACGCCGGCTGCGGCTGCGAGTCGTACCCGTACGGCTGCTGTCCGGACGGCGAAACAGAGGCCACCGGACCCAAGTTCGAAGGCTGCGACGACAAACCCAAGGAGCCGGCAGGTCTGACTGCCCGACCGCCGACCGCGGTCCTGAGCTTTGGTTTGAATGTTCCTTAGCCGCGTCGGTGACCCTTTGCCTTCAAAAGCGCTTCACTGATTACAGAGCGTCTGACATAAAAGCGTCTACCAAAAGTCGATCCGCTGCGAGGCCATTTTTCTGGCGTATGTCTGTGCTGTTGAGGGCGTGAACGCTCGTGTGCGGGCGCGATGGGGGACCGTCCTCTGGTCAGAAGAACTCCTAGAGGCCTTCTTGGCGTGTTCAGGCTTGATTTGACAAGTCCTAAAATCCCAATGGAGTCATTCCATGCTACAAAATGCAGCTGTGCAGCCTCGATGTACACACTGAGTGTTCGCCGCGTGACTCATGGCAGTGTGGCACCACCCAGTCCGACACCAGACCGACCTCCACCGAAGGCCCACTGACATGGCACGTGGCCCGCAGAGATCTGCGGCATGCCCAAGGAGCGTGGCTCCTGCCGCAACTTCACCGTGCGCTGGTTCTTCGACATGGAGTACGGCGGCTGCTCGCGCTTCTGGTTCGGCGGCTGCGACGGCAATGACAACAGCTTTGAGACTCAGGAGGACTGCAAGGCACTCTGCGTGGAGCCCGAAGGCATGGGTGCGTGGGACGTTTTGGGTGGGAGATCCCAATGCAATCGTTTTCTTATATTTCGTTACATTTGTGTTCGCTGTATTTGCAATACTCTTATTCCAACTAATGTTTGGAATATTGCTTAGGAGCTAAGTGTGTGACCATTTGTTTCTGGCACTTAAGCGTAGCATTTGAATTGGATGATCGTCCTTAGAGAGCTGGAAACATCGCGAAACTAATAATATGTATGCTCTACCTTCATTTATTTTACTTTATCTGACACAGATACCGCATAAGCCTAGTACAGCAAACTTAGCCCTGCGTGGCGTTCGGCAATGATAAGAATCTCTCTTTGCTCTGCTCACCGTTCGTGCTATCGTCCGCACCTGTGAGCTGTGTCGACTGACCTTGCCTGACCCCACCGGCGTGCCTCAACAGAGGCGTGCCAGCTGCCGGTGGTGAAGGGCGCCTGTGACGGCTACTATCCGTCTTGGTACTACAACCGCGAGCGCAGCCGGTGCGAGCCGTTCGTCTACGGCGGCTGTCTGGGCAACGGCAATCGTTTCGCCACGGTCGAGGAGTGCGAGAACGTCTGCGTCGTGCCTGACACCCTGGGTAAGCTTCGGTCGAAGAGTGCGAGAACGTCTGCGTCGTGCCTGACACCCTGGGTAAGCTTCGGTCGATGAGTGCGAGAACGTCTGCGACGTGTCTGACACTCTGGGTAAGCCTTAGTCGGCGCAGTTGCTGCAGCTGATCTTAGCAGAAGTTCCCCATGCCAGCTCGCTCAGGACTTGCCCAAGAGACGTCGGGACTCGCTGTGAAGCTGGCGGAGCGAGTGCGGGAAATGACTGACCGTTGGCGTTGGGTGTCTGTCACAGATCCGTGCGAACAACAGGTCATGCCTGGGCCGTGCCAGGGCAACATCTCGCGCTGGCACTTCGACAAGGAGTCTTCCTCGTGCAAGGAGTTCATCTACGGAGGGTGCAAGGCCAATGAGAACAACTTCCTCACCAAGGAGGAGTGCACGCACCGTTGCGCCAGGGCCGGCCGGAAAGGTAAGCACCGTTCAGGATAACTCCCACCTACGCGCCCCCTTAGCACGCTTGGGATAACTCCCACCTATACGCCCCCTTAGCAAGCTCGGCATAACTCCCACCTACGCGCCCCCTTAGCAAGCTCGGGATAACTCCCACCTACGCGCCCCCTTAGCAAGCTCGGCATAACCCCCACCTACGCGCCCCCTTAGCAAGCTCGGGATAACTCCCACCTACGCGCCCCCTTAGCAAGCTCGGGATAACTCCCACCTACGCGCCCCCTTAACAAGCTCGGGATAACTCCCACCTACGCGCCCCCTTAGCACGCTCGGGATAACTCCCACCTACACGCCCCTTTAGCAAGCTCGGGATAACTCCCATCTACACGCCCCCTTAGCACGCTCAGGATAACTCCCACCTACGCGCCCGAACGGAGTGAAGATAAATTTCAAAATACTCACCAGCTTGGTGTTGTGGCTGTTGGTTAGATCCTCAAATTACCATTACCGTTAGTGATATCCACGAGCTATTGATGTGGTCAATATAGCATCGGCGTATTTAATTCTAACGGCGCGCGTTACCCAGGATGGAATATCTGCCGCTGCAACTCTCACTTAAGTTCGTCAAACACAAAAATTATTCGCCAAAATTTGCAGTGACTTGCTATGATGATATGAGAAAAAGGATGATTGAATTGAGTTCCTCGTGGCCAGCCAAAACTTTACAGCTCTCATGCCATGCCTGTCTGATCATACAATTGAATTACAATCTGCGTCACAAATAATCGCAGACAGTTTCTACACATGCGCCGTTATTTTAGTAACATAATACATGCACAAGGATTATGTCACGTTTATTGATATCGTGCGCGCATACAGCATTATCTTGAAAAAAATAATCATATACATACTACAATTATTTCTTTGTATGTGCGGACACAGCGTGGTAAGCACACATCTATTACACCACGCCGTTATTTCGCCGTGTTATCTGTGCAATGTTGGGAGGCGGCAGCGCCTGTCATGAGCCACCTGGAGTCGGCCGCTCATTGACCACCGCCTGGTCTGCGGCAGCCATCTGCTCCCAGCCGCGTGCCGAGGGCTCGTGCGGAGAGTCGCTGCCGCGCTGGTACTTCGACTACCAGGAGAGCCGCTGCTCGCCGTTCTACTACACCGGCTGCGGCGGCAGTCTGAACCAGTTCGACAGCGAGGAGGAGTGCGAGGAGTCGTGCCCCTCACACGTCTACGGTAGGCGGCGTTGCGATCGCCGGCGCCCTGGGTCAGGCCGCCGTCGCAGCTCTAACGTGAATGTGACGTTCGGTGGTGTTTATCAGCATGGAGAGACGTGTCCACGGACAGCGGGCGCTAATTGGTGACTGCGGATGAACCACGGGTCATGGCCACTGATCTTAAAGGTCTTGAAAGCTACTGATCTCTGGCATGCTATGTGGTGCCACTGCCAGGTGGTTTTAAATTGTACAAAAATTTAGCCAATTGGATAGGTATTTTAATGTCTGCAATGGCGTTTCCTCGGGGCACAGCTTAGTGATAGGGTGTGTACTAGATCAAATGCAGCGATCAGCATTTTAGCTCTGAGTACTGCTGGCCGAACTGCAAACAGATGCAAGCGCCAGCGGCACATCTTGCTCAATATAACCTCGCGATGATCATAACTATTCGAGAACTTAGGGAGCCACAGAAGTTGCATAGGCATCTTGACACTGTGATGCACGACGCTTGTTTCTGGCATGTCGCTGTTGTTCTCTAAGCCCGCACTCTCGCTTCCTCAGCGGCCGAGGCCTGCACGGAGAAGCAGGACCCAGGTCCCTGCGCCAACTACACCATCCGCTACTCGTACGACCTGCAGGACGGCCGCTGCAAGCCGTTCTACTACGGCGGCTGCGACGGCAACCGGAACAACTTCCGCTCGGATGAGGAGTGCCGCGACAAGTGCGAGGTCCGCAAGATCGAGACGGAGCGGACCCCAGTTCCGCACGGGTCAGTGGCGACGGCGGACGCTGCGCTTGCCACGCCGTCAGCGGCGTCCCCTGTGACTATCGCGCAAGTGCTGCACAAGATGCGGTGGCGGCACCAGGTGTCTGTGTGTGTCCGACAGGCCAGGGGTATACTTCCCTGCATAGCTTCAGCCCATGCAGGTGGACGCCGTCCGAGCATAAGATGTTCGATTATTTAAGTGACAACGACCGCACACCATGCGAGACGGTTTCAGCAGGTCTCTGGCAAAACCGACGGCGTTAGAGAGGATCGTCATGCTGTTAAGAGTGTCGGCCGTCAGTTCGGCTCAGCTGCCTGATAGGGTCTCCCCCTCCCATTACTGACGGTGTGCCGGTACCTGCACGGACTCTGTTTCCCAGTCAGCCCATTTGTGACCCAGTCGACCCCTCGACAGAGTCGTGTTTCCTGCCGGGCGACGCCGGCTCGTGCGGCACCGCCTCCTCCCCCGAGGCGCTCTGGTACTACGACGCTCGGGTGGGCGTTTGCACCCAGTTCCTCTACAGCGGCTGCGGCGGCAACGAAAACCGGTTCCGGACGCGCGACGAGTGCCGCCAGCGCTGCGGCGCGGCTCAGGGTGAGCCGGCGGTTCTCGACCGGCGAGGCCGGCGTCTTGGGACCAGCCTTGTGGCGCTCTCGCGCGACTGGCGTGCAGCATATCGGGCTGTTTTCATTCTTTTAGAAACGAGGACATACCCATTTGAGTTTGACGCATCAGGTGTCCTGTGCGGAAGAAACATTTGGTACGCGAAATGTGAAGCTATGCTGTTTGTACATCCACCCGCGTGGCTTGCTGAGTAGCAGCGTGAATTGAGGGCGGCGTGAATTGAGGGTGAATTGAGGGTTCTTTCTAATATTTGAGTCTTTGAGCTTTTTACCATACGGTTGCCAAGGAAAACAGCCGTCCAACCCGTCAGGAACCTTGACGTGTAAATCCCTGGCCCAGGCCACGTTCAGACGCCCCTCGGTGGCCGCCATTTTGACATCCTCGGCCTGCGAGGAACTCACAAAACCGCTGAAGCGGTGTGACGCTCCCTGACCTACCCCGGGTGCGTCACTCACGCTGGCAGACGTCTGCACCCTACCGCGCGGGGTGGGCCGCTGCTCTGGGGCGTTCCCTGACCAGCCCCGGGTGCGCCACTATCGCTGGCAGATGTTTGCACCCTGCCGCGTGTGGTGGGCCGCTGCTCCGGCTCCCTGCGCCAGTACTACTTCGACGCGCAGCGCGGCCGCTGCCTCGAGTTCGACTACAGCGGCTGTGAAGGCAACGACAACAAGTTTGACAGCCTGCAGGAGTGCGCGAGTCGCTGCGGTGGCCCTGCGGAGGAGCCGCGGCCCGAGCCCGAGCTAGAGACGAGGGACAGACGGCCCGAGCAGGCCACGCCGCCGCCCGAACAGAGGCCCGAGACGAGGGACAGACGGCCCGAACAGGCCACGCCGGCTCCCGAACAGAGGCCGGAGACGAGGGGCAGACGGCCCGAGCAGGCCACGCCAGCTCCCGAACAGAGGCCGGAGCAGGAGCAAGGTGAAGGACAACGCAACGATCTTATACTGCCAGCCTAGACGTAGTTGATGTAGCAGTCGGGCACGAAAGTAGTGTCCGGTTTTTATAGTCTCTTACAGTCTTCAGTCTATCTCGTCACTTAATCTACAAAACACGTTGACTTGACTCATATTAATAGAACGGGCTACAGCCGTAAGTGACCCTGAACCTGAACTGACCTAACCCTGGAGGCACGGCGGGTCATGGAGGCCGCGGTGCTGTGGGCTGCCAGATCTGCTGCCGACCTGCGCTCGACAGTACGACCCTGGTCCTGCTGGACGCTCGTGAGCGCCTGATTCCGCAATTGCTGGACGGGCCAGCTCGAGCCTGGGCTTCTTTGCCTCTGTTCTTTTGAATATTTGTATCAGTTTCAAGTCAACGTGTTTTGTGTATGGTCACTGTGCTCCAACCCGGACAAGGGTTAAACTATTAAGCGAAAGATCTCTGGACCTCCTTGTTCACGCTACAACAGCCAAATTCTGTTAGCATCCTTCTACGCTTTTCGTGTGCAAAAAAATGCTGTTCTGTAGCACGGAACTAACTGCACATAACTGCATCGTCGCAAAGTGACGCATTTAAAAAGGCACCGTGCGACCAACCGCTTCTAACTAGCTCGAGAGCATGCGAACCCGGTGACCAGACTGAGTGTGCAAAGCCTGTGTATCACCCACCGCCTTCGAGTGACTAACACCAGCTGCTCAGCGAGCACGCGAGCCCGCTGGCCAGCCCGTCGCGCCCGGCCCTGTTTCTCACTGAGCCCTCGGTGCCGTGGTCCGCTAGATCTGCCGCCGGTGTGTGCCCAGCGGTACGACCCGGGCCCGTGTCGGACGCCCGTCAGCGCCTGGTTCTACAGCGCCGGCATGAAGCTGTGCAGGCAGTTCACGTACGGCGGCTGCCGCGGCAATGACAACAAGTTTGTCAGCCAGGAGCAGTGCAAGCGCACGTGTGCTGAGTACCGCGGACAGGGTGGGTGTTGGCACTGCCCGGTGCCGAGAACAGGATGGGGGTCAGTGATTTTGAGCAACGCAACAACGCAGACAGGCTGCGCGTTGGTGTCGCTGAGTGCCGCGAGAAGGGTGGATTTTGACACTGCCAGGTACCGCATACGGGGCGTTTGGTGCTGGGGTGTTCCACGGAACCTCGGATGGATGCTAGAGTACACCACGGTAGCCCGGGTAGGCGTTAGGGTACTCCACAGTAGCTCGGAGAGGTGCTAGGGTACTTCACAGTAGCTCGGGGAGGTATGGACGGGTACGGGTTTAGGATATGGGTGAGGTGAGATAAGCTGCGGCCACGGCGTTCGGCAGACCCAGTGCATCTGTCCTTTGTGCCTCTCGTCTCCGTGCTAACAGGCATCAGGCTGCAGAAATCAGCTGAAGATACTCGGGAGTGCCACATGTCTGGGCACCAGCCAGAGATATTTAAGATATATGAACCAGGCACATGTCAGAGATACTGTCATGGGCACCCTTTTCCTGCGGTAGACCGTATTCGCGAACTCCGCCTAATGGCCATAGGCCACGCGAGCTTGTGATCTGCGTCATATTGTTGGTCCGTTACTTAGTGCCACCACTGGGCTGATTTAAGCATGCGCTTGTGACCGCATCTATGGGTGAAGGCGTACACTACCTTGCGCATTCAGTTTTTTACGGGTCGAACCGTCGTGTCGGGACATCAAGGTGAGCCGGCGCTACCTAAAAATCCAAGTAAGTCGACAACTTCGCTACCGTAATTCACGACGCCTGCATCGTTGTGATGGCTGCCAGCACTGGTGTACCCATACACGTACATGCAATGCATGCTCCGATGCGTGAGTGTCGAACAGCGACGCCTGGTCGGCGGATGCCGCGACGCCTGGTCGGCGGACGCCGTAACGCCTGGTCGGCGGATGCGTGACGCCTGGCCGGCGGATGCCGTGACGTCTGGTGCGTGCGCCGCAGACGCCTGCAGCATCCCACCGTCCCCGGGCGACTGCGGCGGCAGCGAGACCAAGTGGTACTTCGACTACCGCGACGACACCTGCCGGCCCTTCGTCTACACCGGCTGCGGTGGCAACGTCAACAGGTGAGGCGCGGGCACGCTGCTGACGGAGGCCGGTAGCGTTCTGTGACAGCGCTATCGCTATTAAGTAGACTTATGATTCATATGTTCATAGATATTCGGTTTCCGTACGATCAATCCACACCATACCATTTGCCCATTATGTACTGATGTGAAGCTTTCAAAACATAAGGACTGAATGGACTACAGCAGATAACGGTTAATTTTAGGATTTTTCGGAGCTAGCAGTCTGTAGACATTCATAGGGAATGATCCTAGTGTGTGTTTATTTAGGACAAATGAGATATGAATGTCACCGGCTCGATGGTGTTGCTAACCCCGATTCATACGCAGGTTCTCCACGGAAGAGGAATGTCAATCACTCTGCGTAGACGGCAGCGAGCAGATGGTTCCAGATCTGGAGTCTGAGAAGGATACAAGTGAGCCTTATGTACCTTGTCAACGAGACATCTGCCACATCTATTACCACCCCTTTTATTTTTCCAACACAGGCTCGTTGGTGTGTTTCGTTTTTAAAGCGCGTGAGGGGCGGTTTTACGTGCCATTGTGATGTTTGCCGTTCTCCATCAACAGTGGACGTTGATGTTGGCCTTTTCTGCTGAGACGGTTTCTGACATGAAATTGCTGCTGATTAATACCACTTCATCTCAGGTCATTTACAAGGATTTGTTGTGCGCAGGAAATGTGTGAGCTCCATGGGCTTACGAATGGCGGCTCACCGTATGCACTCGGGTCGCGACGCTTTCCAGGCATGATCGAAACAAAGGCCGGACCGGCACCAGAAGCCAGCACTCCTGAGAGTCCGATCGCAACGACGGCGGCCCCCACGGAGGAGGCGGCCCCCCAACCGGTCACCACCGGCGCCCCGGTCGACTGCTCGCCCCACCAGCAGCAGTGTCAGACGCTGCGGGTCAGTGCAGTGCCGGAAACTGCAGCTCGCCACAGCTGTGTTGCTGAGCGTGACTATCCAACGGTCTACTGTCTCCACCCATCTGTTACGGGCCTCAGCCGCGACCGGCCTGTCCTTGTTCAATGTGTGTTGCCCACGTACCTTTTCGCCATTTGGCGGTGCTCACCAGCGCTTGCTCACTTCGTCATTCGGCTCCATGTTCCCTCGCGGCTTCAGTTCACTCCGGGCTGTTCATGCTTGCTCACAGGCTGAAGCGTATGACAACACACACAGCATTTATTCACCCTGGCGTCCACGGACAAAATGCGAGCGTTCACACATCCTTTAAAGTAAGCTACGCACAATGCCAGACAAGTGTCAGCGCGTCCCTCGTTGCGGACAGCGCTAACTGAATACGATTACAAATATTAATAGCCCAGCGTGTCACAGGGCACCTAACCCCTTCCTCAACCGTCCAGTATCCGTTTGGCGTGGAACGGCGTAAGGAACGACCAGCGGCATTAGCCCCCATCCTCACCGTCAGTATCCGTTCGGTGTGGAGTGGGCGCACGGACAGCCAGCGGCACTAACCCCCTCCTCAACCGTCGTGTCCGTTCGGTGTGGAGCGGCGTGCGGACGACCACGGCACTGACCCCCTCCTCACCGTCCAGTGTCCGTTCGGTGTGTAGCGGCGCACGGACGATCAGCAGTGCGAGCGCTGCTTATCTGCTCAACCATGCCGCGAGGGTGCGCTGCGGTGCCGGTTACCGCTGCCCATCTCCTACTGACGCGACGAGGAGGGTGGTCTGCTCGTCAGCGCCGTCTGCCGTCCCGGTGAGCCAGTGTCGCAGCGGAGCAGGTGACCGCCGCAGGCTAGAGATGCTCCAGTAAGGCGCAGTAAGTAAGGTGCGGTCGAGCGCCGCCAGTCTCTGTGGTGGGGTTGCCGCGGCGTTGAATCTACTCCAGCGCGCTCCTGCTGTGGAGCGATCCTGCTGCTGTGGATGGCACCAACTAAGGAATGTTGTGGCAGCGTAGGGTAGAGATCCGTAGTTACCGATGGTTCAAATAGGCTCGCCAGATTGCTAGTCCGCGACTGGTGCAACTGGCACCACCCCCCCGCATGGCGGTGCGTCACAAGCCAGTTTCGGCCTCTATATTGAAGAAAACTCCGTATTTTCTGTTCTTGAACAGCCGTCGCGATCAAGTTCTTGCTTTTATTCTGTTTTTATTTGTCCGTGTCAGGAAACAAGACTGGCGAATGCACATCACCGAACACAGTGGATGAATGCGGCGATGCCAGAGACGGCTGCAGGGATGATGCAGATTGCCGGAACAACCTCAAGGTACGCCCACATGCTCATGTGCATACCCTTAACTGCCTGTCAAAGAACGTGAAGGGGGATCGGCACCAATGGCGCCAGCCTGAGCTAGTTTTGATTTTTGTGGCAATGCTGCGGGAGCGGTTGTTTGACGCACCGCAGTTCCGCTGCTCTGCACATATTTTGCCGTCCACGGCGACTGACAGTCTGCCGGCTCCACCGTATGACGCGCAGTTAGCGGCCATTCGTATTTCCACTGGGCCGACGTGTTGTTGCAGTGCTGCTCGGACGGCTGCTCCCTGCGCTGTCTGCCGCCGGACGGTGAGACGGAGGTCATCGTCAAGGAGACCAGCGTCCTGCCCTCCACCACCACCACCATGACCCCGGTTACCGAAGCAGAGGTTAGTCAATTGCGCCACGCGCTCGATCAGAGTTGCAACGCGCTGGGGGTCGTTATCAAGCCCAGGTTTGTACAGGCTTTAGTAGATGTGGCCTTAGATCATGAACGTGATCCTTACGACCATTCAACAAAGACGCGTCAGCAGGCACATCGGTTTTCGGGTTTGGTGAAAATCGTTTTGGGCAACGTCGGGCTTTCTGGTCGCATACACCGCATTGCATTTGACGCCTTATTTGGGACTTGTGCGGGTTTTGGTCGCAAGTTTTTCGCTGAAGGTGTGGCCCGAAATGTCGTGGATTTCTTTACAGGCGACTGACATGTGGCCCGATGCCACGTTCATGCCCACCGAGCTGCCATACCCGGTGCCAACTGCTGCTACGCAGCGGCCTTACCCGACGTACCCACCGTACCCGACGTACCCGCCGAGCCCCAGGCCTCCTGTACAGCCCCCCAGGGGCCGGGAAGGTCAGTGACGACGGCCCACGACTGGACCTGTCTGGGGCTGGCCGATGTCGGCGCGCTGACCAAATACATGTGGTCGCTTGGCTTTTGTTCAGGTTTGTAGGTGCACACTCTGCTTCAACCCTTTCAATTCCGTTTTGCAAATGTTCCTTGCTTGCTCTGTCGTTTATTGTCTTAAAGACTTGTTCAAGTTACAATCTATGCTGTGAGTAGCACTATTCGCATTTTCTATGAACCATCACGCTCCGACAATATGGCTGTTTACAGGGTCTCCAGCCCGCATCGTTCAGTCGGAGCCCGAGGTGGAAGTTCACGAGGGAGAGCTGGCTGTTCTGAGCTGCATCGCGCAGGGCGAGCCAGAGCCAGTCATCACCTGGACTCACGGTGCCAGGAGGGTAAGCTGCCGGACACTTGTGATCGTCTGGGACAGTGCTGTCGGCAGATAATGCGCCTTCGCCGAGCCTCCATCATCCGGGACGGAGGCTCAGTGCCGGCTGTGCCGCTCAGAGCCTGGGCAGTGACTGGGCGCCACGCTGTCGGCCAGGTGGACACGAGCCGGCTGTGCCGCTCGGAGTCTGGCGCAATGACTGAGCGCCGCGCTGTCGGCCAGGTGGACACGAGCCGGCTGTGCCGCCAGAGTCTGACGCAGTGACTGAGCGCCGCGCTGTCGGCCAGGTGGACACGAGCCGGCTGTGCCGCTCAGAGTCTGACGCAGTGACTGAGCGCCGCGCTGTCGGCCAGGTGCACACGAGCCGGCTGTGCCGGTCAGAGCCTGGCGCAGTGACTGAGCGCCACGCTGTCGGCCAGGTGGACACGAGCCGGCTGTGCCGCTCGGAGTCTGGCGCAGTGACTGAGCGCCGCGCTGTCGGCCAGGTGGACACGAGCCGGCTGTGCCGTCAGAGTCTGACGCAGTGACTGAGCGCCACGCTGTTGGCCAGGTGGACACGAGCCGCGGCCGATTCCGTCTCGAGAGGAACGGCACGCTGGTGATCGTGGGCGTCGAGCGGGACGACGGCGGCGAGTACACGTGCACAGCCGACAACGGCCTGGCTGCGCCCGCCCGCACGACCGTCGCGGTCAACGTGCTCGGTGAGCTGGCGCACCGACGTGTGGCGGCCGTCGTCAGAGTGGTGCCATGCTTGCATGCAGTCGGTTACTGGGCTGTTATAAACTCACTCTGTCTAAGCCTTCTGTTGAGTACTGCTTTGTAGAGTCATCCATGCAACCTACTCAATAACTCCCGTC